TTAAGTATTAGTTGAATTATAGTAGATTTTGTATTTGAGTGTACTTAGTGTGACGAAAATCACGAATCGCGCGTGTGACAACAATTTTGAAAACAGCTGTAACAATATTACTATAATTAGTGAAAACATTACTATAATAGGTGCATTCAAACAAGTATTGAAACAATACATTACTTTTATGAACAGAAACAATATTCATTAGCTACTTAGTATTAAAATTCAAAGAAACAGACATGAACAAACAATATACTTACAATAAAGACATTATATTAAGAGTATAATACAATGATTCAAGCTTGAAAACAAACAAATGTTACAAACACTAATGACACCTGGTACATGCCTAACAAGTACAAATGAAATAATGAACAACAACAAACAATTCATACAATCAATACTCTACACAAGTATGGTAGGATCACTATATTATACAGTAGATTGTACTCAGCCAGATATTATATACATTACAGGCCAATTAGTGTACTATCTACAAAAACCTAGTATACAGTATTACAATACAGTAAAACATTACTTCTAATACCTACATGGAACAATGAATCACTAGTTGCATCTTAGCAGAACAAAACTGACAATATTACAAGAATACTACAATACTGACAGACAAATAATAGAAGGTCACCAATTGATTAACAGATATGTCTTCCAACTTGGGAAGAGTACTATATTATAGGCTAGCAAACAACAAAACTTAGTACTACTATTGACTTACAAAGCAGAGTTGTAAGTACTAGTATACATAACTTAAGAAGCTATTTAGCTGAAACAACTTACTGAGGAAGTACTGTAGACAGAATCAGCACTTATTACAATCTATTACAACAATCAGGGTGTAATACACACAGTCAAATCTGAGGAAATCACATTCAATACTTGGACTAAACATCTTGATTTACAAAAGGACTTTGTCTGCTACTATATTCAAAACTAATACATTAACATACACTATGTTCAGACTCAGAACCAGCTTGCAGACATTCTTACAAAAGTACTCTATGTTCTACAGATTAAGTACTTAATAGAACTCATTAGGTTACACTTGTAGGAACCATATTTGTACTTGTAAGAGAGTATTAGATACACTACACTATAATACTATTTACATCTACATTACCTTAGTATAGAACACATTATATCTAGTATAAAAGCTAGCACATACATGTGTATATACTAAAGTGCTATCACAACTCCCTATCTTTCATATTACATTTGTAATTTAGTAAGGTAAGAATGTATTGTATCTGTCTGAATCTAATATTCATATTCACAACCACTTTGTATAGGTAGGGAAATGAGAGCTAGCTCTTCAAAGCAGAGGAAGTGTATAAGATATTCTATCAATAAAGATCTCTGATATTGTATAAGTCTTAGCAGGATTACACAGCTAAGACTGACCACAATTCTGAGCAGCAAATTAAGATAAAGTAGAGTAAAACTAAGACTAATACTATACTCTAGATTCTGAGCAATATATGCTGACAGATTTGAGGGCTTTTCAGTTTACAGTATATTTCTAGCTGAACTATGATTATTCAGATTTTATCTCTATATGACTAGTATCTAGCACACTATTCTTCTTTATAGACAACTGGGTACACCTTATCAGACCTGTATTGTTGAAAGAGAACCAGAATTAATAGTGATTTGGTTCTTCTACTTCAACTTCTAATGTCTCTGAGTGACTTTAATCTCTCTTACTTAGTATCCCTAATTTGTAACTATTATGTACTTTATTATTACAGTATTACAAATTACTACTTCTGTCTTCAGTTACATATGTTTAGTCCTAGACTGAGTAGACTACTGTCTGGACCTGGACTGGACTGCTAGTCTGGTCCAGTTAAAGTCCAGTTTAGGCACAGTCTAACAAGTCTAGTCTAGAGTCTAGAGGAACTAGGATTTTCTCAGATTGTATAGACTAGTATAGACACTAGACCAGACCTGGACCCTAAATACAATATTTTGTACTATAAAAGAGTAGTTATATAATTGAAAATTTTATATATCCTTAGAATAGCACTATTATTCTAGTATATATATTACAGTTTACTTGTTATATTTGTTTTTTAAGTAAAAAGGCTATTATATATATTAATTTGTTTGAAATAAATGTATGACTGAGTAATGACAAAGTAGTATAAACTATAAATACATTAGTGTATATACATTCAACAAGTGTAAGTATAATAATCTTACCTTTCTGAGTATAATTTAGTATAATTTAATATAATACACATATATTCACTCAAGTATTCCTTCTTTTAGTAATATTCAAAACTAGTCCAGGTCTAGTCTAGTAGTGGTCTAAAGTGGTCCAGTCCAGGTCCAACCTAAACCTCAAAATCTGGTCCAGGTCTGGGTCACAGTCTAGGAAAAACTGTCTAGACTAGACAAGGACTGGACTTATACAACTATACTTCTGTCACCTGAACTGAGCTTTACTGTAAGAGACTTACACAACTTACTCTAAATTGCTAAAGCCCTCCTGTAAGTCCCTCTGCCAATTAATTAAAGTTACCTCCTATAATGTTGTGTTACTAAGTAGGAATGACTGTAAGCTTCTTAACTCTAGTCTTACCTTAGAGTCATCTCAGATTACAGTCAACACATTAGGAAAAAGTCAGATTTCTTGTAAGAACTTTTATATTTTGTAAAGTATGATAAACTTTGTATATTTTTTATATAGTAATTACAATAATTGTAAAAGAGTTATAATGTAAAAACAAGGCTTACATATTTATATAAAGATTCTATAAGTATTTCTCTTTAGTAAATGTCTTTTAATAACTTTATATTAAGAGTAGAAACTTTATTTTAGTATTACATCTGAAGAAAGAGTCTTGTGTCTACTATATAATACAATTAAAAAGTCTTTTTCTATATTTGTAAGTATTAAAAACACTTTTTGTAAAGTTATAAACTTAATAAATGTGTGTAGTAGAATGTAATATGTGTGTTATAATAGTAAATACAAAGTAAAAAAAGAATATTATAAGATCTTTTTAATAGTATATTGCTTAGCTGTTTTAAAACTAATTGTTACCCTCTCAAAATTAAATTTCTTAAGATAATATTAGTAAAGAAAGACAAGACAAAGGTAAAAAGACTTACATTATTAACAAAAGGTAGGTGTATAGATCCTACCATTTTCTTCTTCCTAAAACACCTTATTAAAAGGTGTAGAGTATTATTATTGTCTGACTCATGAATACTACCCCTAGTAATAATAATAATGTTAGTAGTAAAAAAAGGTAAAAAAATATAAGAACTTACACAATTTTAGCTGTTTTAATATGACTATAACAATCTGAGAGTACTTCCTTAAGCACTCCCAGAATTTTATCAGTACTAGCCTTATAGAACACATGTTTTGTATTCTTTGTTTTGTACATGTTTAGATTGGCTTACAAAATAGAGAGAGGCAACTAAACAGTTTGAGTGTACAATTGAGACAATACAGAGTACAATTAACAAAAAAAATACTAGACAGTAGTATAGTAAGTTACTCAAGAGGTTATTAAGAAAATATAATAATGTACTAAAATACAAAACTGTTCATGTCTAGTAATAGGTTACAATGTGCTTAGAGTATTGAATTAAGTAGTAGGCTTGGGTGAGAATTGTCAGAGAAGTACAAGATGTTGAGTGTGTTAGTTGAGACACAGAAAGGGCAATAGTAAGGATAGAGAGTGTTAGGAGGGACTTTACAAATATTTTAATACAAATGAGTAGACAGTAAATGTAATATGAGTTAACATTAGGTAAGGGCCCTACTTCTAAGAAGAGAGATACTAGCAAGTAAGTAAACCTTAAAACACTGAGTAGAAGTGTTTGTAGAAAACCTATCCAGACATAGATTAACATGTCAAATGTTGAACAAGTTATAACAACTTTGTACAAGTTACTATTTCTCTACAGTCTTAGAAAGACAGTCTGATTGAAATACTTCATTTGTCCTCACTATACAAAAAATGGCTCACCTTTAGTCTACAATCTGTCAGTCATTTGTAAAATAAGATAGTATGAATAATGTCTTCTTAAGTTACAATACATTCTACAGTTACAAATTTCAAGTCTGTAGTTCAAGTGTATACTAGTAATGTAAGATTGAGGAACAGTGTTATTAAGTATTTTCATTCTTATAAGATACTGTTTACTACAATTTGCTAGTTATGTTAAGGATTAATTAGTAGATTGTTGTGTATAACCTTAAAATTACTATATTTGTATACTACATTTATAATTTCACTACAGACTCACATAACTGTCTGATTTGTTTTCTTCCTCTCTAACACTTTCCTTACCTTTGCTTTCAAGTTCCTCATCTTTACTTTTAAGTTCCTTGTCTTTAATATTATCTTCCTGTTCTATTTCTCTCATCCTATTATTGATTGTCTTACTAGCTTGTTCTAGTAGTAAGTCTTACAGTAGTTGGTTGTTTAAAGACTAGGTGTTCTTGTAGCCAATTCCTCCACCTTAGTAGTACATAAACATATTACAGTCTACAAAGCTATAATACATTAGACTAACACAAGTCAGCTCTATATGTTCTAAATTTGAAAGCTGTAACAATGTACATATATGTTTACAAAATAGATTTTGTAATCTTCATTATTTTCTTTAGGTCAGTAGGTAAGGGATGGTGGGAGGAGTGTCTCAGTAGTTCCCTCAGAAAATTGAGGGATTAAATGAGTACTATAAATAATTAAATCTGGGTTGACAAATCTAAAAGTATTAGAATTGATATAACAATAGAATTACAATTGAGAGAGACATCTCTCAGCAAATGAGACATTCTCCTAGACTCTTAACCAGTAAACCTAAACAAAATCTAACTGTTTAAGTTTCTTGAAATTGTGTTCTGAGCTAGTATAACTTATATCTGTGTGAAAAAGTCTAATAATTCATACATAAACAAACAGATTGTCTGTTTTGCCTGAAAGTAGTATAACATTAGTATGTGTGTATAGATTCAACAAGTCCTAGGCTCTCCAAACATTGTATGTTGTGTAATTAACATACAATACCTTGTGTTTATACAATCTGTCCTTTCTTATGTGAAGGCTGTGAATTTTGTCTAGGGAGAATGTCTTATCTTCCTGTCTAGAGAGAATGTGACTAAGCAGATGCTTACAAAGGTCTAGTATGAAATCCTAGAGTAGATATGTATGTATGAGTGTGTAAAGCATTAGTGCTTGTGAATTGTACTTAGGTCCTGTCTAATAAAGGATCTGGGGATCCTGTCAATCTAAAGGACCTTGAGTTCTACTATAGTATAGTAATATTAACAAAGAACAGTTTCTTTTTATCCTAATAGTTTATAGAAAACAAAAGTAATCTAACTTTAAAGGTAAGCTTTATCCTTATATCCCTATTATTGTATTCCTTTCTTTACTCTCACAATATTATGAATCTTACAAATCCTACCTTCTGGTTGTAATACTCTCTTTACAGTACCTTGTTTATTTGTTCTAGTATACATTTGCTTGAGTCTTTTATACTGAGACTTACTCTGAAAGATACACAATTGAGATAAGTATAAAGAGCAAGTTAAAGTATATATACTTACAATTTGAGTACTGTAAGAGTCAGTCATACTAAATTGACAAATAGTAGAAGTGTATATACTAAGAGTATAGAATTTTAGTATATTAATGTTGAGTTTCTTTGTATTTACATTTGTCTTTACTGTTTTTTTGTCTAACTACTTCCTCTTACCCTTCTTAGTCTTGGAAGCATAATAACAACCCTGAGTAACTATCTTCTTCAAGAGTTTGTGTATATTATAGACTGTACATACTGTCTTCTTAAAGTATTACACCTAGTATCCTAGTAATGTTGTTGTCTCTTTAAGGAGCCAAACTATTGTATCTGTGTGAATACAAAGCTTTGTAAGTGTATACCAGGTTGCTAGGTTGAATAAAAGGTCTTAAATTGTTTTACTATACTTCTTTAATAGTAGATTCTTGAAAGCTAGTATTATACACTATAAAATATAATACACATCCTATTGTAACACATATATATATTAATAATCAAGAGGGAGATACTTACTTGTAGAATATCCTTAAAATCTTGAGCTACAAATTACTTTATTACAACCATATTTTTAGAGAATTGTCAGATTGTATCCATTCTAAAAGTAGGAGTATAGTAATACTTATAAAATAATAAATATATTTGATTAGACAACAGTTAGACAATTAATAAGGTCTGTAGTGTTTCATAATAAATTATAGAAAGATGAAGGGAATTAGTATATAATTACCTTCTATTAAGTATTAGTATACTCTTACTACCTTGTGTAAAAAGAATGTGTAAGAGGTGAGTAAATATTATCTTCTAGACCCTCAGCTCAAACTCATACATAGAATCTAGAACAAATAGGTTGAAGAAATTAAATCTGTGATTGTAAAGTACAGAAAAAGCATTCTGTAATAATAAGATAAATTAATAATAAAGAATGTTACCTGGATAGTAATAGTTCACATATGTTAACCAGTATAAGGGACTCAGTATTAAGTAGACCTTTTATCTATAAGGATTCTACTAATCTTCCTAACTCAAAGATTCATTACTATGTCCTGGAAATTTTGTCTTGTCTTACAGTATCATCCTTATACTTGTGACTTTGTCTTTGTTAGTCAGCTCTAGTACTTAGTAAGTAGTTGTACTTGGTTAGTATAATGTTTGTAGAGCTTGAGAATTTGTCTAAAATGTACAAAGTAGTAATAAGTATTCTATAACAATGTTTAGTCATCCTTGTATAAACTGAGGTGAAAACACTAGTATATAGAGACAGGAAGACAGAGAGTAATACTTGCTTTTCAAGATAGTTAGCTAAATAGATAGAGAACCTTAGAAAGAGCTAGTATGATTTACTATTAGAGTAGTTAAATAGAAAACCCAAAGTGTATACTTTAAGAATTTCAGACTATAATAGGACAAGAGATAAGTGTTAGGAATTGTAAAATACAAGAACTAAGTTTAGAAAGCCTAACTTAAGACTTAGAACCAAGTAGTTTATAAACAAAACTCTAATAGTTACAAGTCTAAAGATTGGCCAGATCCCTAGGTCATCTTTATTGTCCTTATTAGATTGTGCTCTGGATTAGGAAATCCCTAATTGCCTTATGTAGAATTACTACACTTGGAATGTCTCAGACTATCAGACTTCACTATGTAGTATATAAGGTAGACACTTGCTTGATGTCTCAATAAGAGAGAGTACTTGGGGCACTCCTACTACACTTGTTAAAAGGTTATGAGCCTTAGTGCCTATTGAATACCCTTACACACTCACTCTTACAGAATGCCTTCACCTCCTGCTAGACCACCAAGCCCAAGACCTCCCTCTCCCCCCAAACCCATTACAATGTTGTCTATAACACATACCTTTGTTAACACTACAATGAAGGACTCTAACATTACAAAGTTCTTTGAGGGAACAGAAAAGTTAGCTAGTATGAAAGGATATAAGATATAGCACTTGTGCATACACAGTGTACTTGCTACCATAATACTCTTAGACCATCTAGAGCACAATCCCCCTTCCTCTGATGATGCTAGCATACACACAGGTAATGTTTTGTATCACTGTATAACGAAAACAATAACTGATACAATTTATACAAACTTTACAACACATACAAGTGTTAGAAGTCTCATGAAGGTGCTTTCTGAATAATACAATGTTCAAACAACAATGACACGTGCTGTAGACATATCTATGTTGTTTACAGTAAAAGGGCATGTATTACAGTTTGATAAGATGTTAGACAACATTAAACAAATCTACAGGCAGTTGTCTACACATAATAAAGCCCCTAATAACAATACATACATCTCAGCAATTAACCTCACTACTCCTTGTAAGTATAGATGGGTAGTAATGATGCTAGACAGACAGATTACCTATTATAATCAACTACCAACAGTTACAGTGGCTCAGAAAGACGTTCTGACACCAGCTAAGTTGATACACAAATTACAAAACACATATACTGAGTATCATTCTCAGTACTCTCAAACAAAACAAGATACTGAACAAGACAGCCTACA